TGGACATTATTTTGAATTATTTTCAACCAAATAACTCATATTTCTTCCTAGTAATTGTTGAGAATGGCTTTGACTTTTTGATTAAAAAAAAAAAAAATCATGTTTCCATTAAAATTTTAGTCTGTATTTGATTTCCAAACCAGTTATTGTAAAATTTCAAACCCCCTGCCGTTACATGTTAAAGCTACATAGTATTCTGTGTCCATGTGTATTGGTTCGTAATTCGCTGACACCAGATTGGGTTGAATTACCAATTAATGCGTCTGTGTGTGCAAAGATCTCTGAAGCATTGAACTTGTGGTCCCACCGGAAACTACTCCAACTTGCCTTCATATCTCAAGGGTGAAGAAAATTTGATATTATGAGAATTCTATATGGCGATAGACTACTAGGCACCGTGTGCTAAACAAGACTTGTCGATGGTAAAAGTGAAGTCTAGGTGACTGACAACACCTGTTATTGGGTAAACACCAGAATGGTGTCTAATTCCCCATGAAAGCACACTACTATGTGTCTTTGAAACCCCTTGTAAGTCTCTTCTCTCTGTCTCTTTGTCTATCTGTCTGTCTCTGTTCGTCTCTGTCTCACTTTCCTCTGTTCAATATTCCAGTGATAGCTTTCTCTGTCTTCCACTTCCTTTCATATTTCTAGTGTAACACTGGAAGGAATGAAATAATATAGTACCCTCGATCTATAGCATACCTTTCTGATTTGCATGTAGCAATAGACCTGTTTACTAACATATTTAAATTTATGGATGTTTCTTTCCTGGGCACCTAGTGACAAGTTGTTCCACTAACCTGTCATTAATGAATGAACTTCAATACTCAGAATCCAGTCTGCTTATGTTACTTGTTCCTATGTCGGGAAAGCCTCAGGCAACCTTTCAGGTTGAATGACCTTTTGTTTAAAAGGATGCATACAATTTGAATATGTTATTAAACAGGTCTTGTCTTTACATACAAGGTTCAAGCCCCCCTGGTTCCAAGATTTTTTTCTGACTTGTTTTTCAATACAGATCGATCAATCGATCTTATTTACTGGGTGTAAACCACAGATATGTTTAAATAAGGTCTTGTCTATTATAAAGTATTGAATTGTATAGTGTTGTTCTATAATGATGGTTGGGTTTAGCTCTATATGCTTGCCTCAAACCCATTTCTAGAAGTTTTTTTTCTCAAATTATTACCCAAGATAAATTGTCCAAATTGGAAAATCTCTACCAATGTATCTATGATTGTAAAGAGAAAAATTTGTAGGGTTTTTCCCTTAATGTCAGCTTTTTTTTTCCATTCTAATTTTCCTTGACATTCAGAATTATTATACACATGTTCTATCCTAAAAACAGATAAAATTATGAGTAAATTATTTCTGTGAAACTCATGTATATCATGTACAATGTCTTTAGGCATGTTTTAATTCTTAACAACAGATCAAAGTTATGATGCATTATTGGTTAATAACTGCGTAGATGGAGGCATATTCACTGCTTAACATGGAAAACGTCAGCAAAAACACAAATGAAAAGATACAATACTATTAGCTTATGTTGACTTCAATTATTTCGCTGTGATGAAATTCAGAGTAGACAATAACTTGTTGGAGTAGGAACATATGCTACATTTTGAGACCACTTAATGGTCATTCATCATTTTATGTACCGTTTATAATATATTGCAAATGATATAATCTGCACATGAAGTCGGTTTGTGCCATACTGACTGCATGGCCACCACTCTGTAATGCGTTGATCTTCAATAAAAAGGATAATGTACAATTTATACAAAAAAAGATGATCATAGTGGAAACTCCTTCGAAACACTTTGATTTTGCTGTGTCCATATGTAAATGTCATATTATCTTGTATTTTAAATCATGTCAATATTTTGTTTTAAATTAAAGGGCAATCTTTTCAACTTAAATTTTATTTATTTAATTCATTTTCTTTTTTCTTCTTTAAAAAAAAATTGAAATCAGGATATTAATGGAAATAAATTCATGTTTTGAATATCATTATCCCTAATGTTATGTACCCCACAAAGGACTCACTCTAATTATATGTTCTTTCTGTCAAAAGATGAATTCAATCATTATATTTTAAAGATATTGTTATTCCTATGAATCACAACTGCAATACATTTTTAAAATCATTATTAAGGAACATTTTTAATTTTTTTAAAAAATATTTGTCGGATGAGGTTTAAGTAATTATCCGATCCTACAGATTTTTTGTTTACATTATGATTTGTTGGAACAGGGTTAAAATGATTGAATTCAAGTTTTTACGTTTCTTTGCTTTTTTGTTGGGGTTAGATTTGTTGATAATATTTTTATTAACCGATAGATCAAATGCTTTGTGTCCTGAATTGGTCAAGATTTTTTGTTCATGTAATGGTAGATATAAATGACACTTTGACAACATCATGTGTGCGGAAAGACATTGTTAAAGATTCGTTATTTAATTAATTAAAGGCATATTTTGTCACAAATTTTACGCAAATATTGGGTGTCTTTTATCATGATTGTAGATGATAGTTATGTCCATGTACCGTTCACTCCTACTTTTTGAGCATTGTCTCATTGTCGTATTATTTTAAGAGAGAAATCTTAATCATATCTGCATATCAACCTTTTGTGTCTGAGTGCAGCATACAGGCATCATAGAACTGAAGCCCCCCCCCCCCCCCCACACACACACACGATTTGTTGAAAGACATTTCACAGTGGCATTGCAATAAAATGATATGTTGTTCACATGCCCCGTCCCCTCGACCCCCCCCCCCCCCTATTAAAAAATAGTCTGTTGCATCTGACCATTGATCAAACATTTGGAAACGTGAAATAGGGGTGTGAGAGACCTAGCAAATGGGAAAATGAGGCCTACCAAAAGAATTAACTCGTTTCTTTTCATCAATAAAATAAACATAAATATATTGGGAAACATTAAGAACAGGATTTATACATCATGTGAGAGGCCTGGTAAAGAAAAACAAAAGAAAATTGTACAAAGTTGAGGCATACCTATAGATACATGTGCATGTAAGCTCAAGCTGTTTCATTACCCTTCTCTCCACCCCCCCCCCCCCCCAATAGTCATATCTGAAGAGAATCAACTTTTTTTTCTCTGAGAGCTGCATTGATCTAACATCAGAGATTATAGAGAGCATTGCATGACATGTGAGAGGATTGTTACACGTCAAGTAGGGTCAAGGGTCTTATTTGGGGGATTAAAGATAACAAATTCTATTTGATCGATGAGTAAATCAAACATTCAGGAATGTTACCATGACGCATGATCTGACATGTGGGCTTGTTCGGGAGGGGGGGGGGGGGGGATGGGGGTATGAATATGATAAAGTTCATTCACATGCAACTGGAGAGAACTGCTTTTCACATTAACCCCTGTAAAAAGTTCACTTGTATTAATGAAGAAAAATTGAAGAAACAGAAAACAGAAAGTTCAAAATAGATCAATCAGACCAATGATAAGAATTCTGAATGTTTGATAACAAAATCAACAACAAAAGATAAGGAAAGCGAATATTATAGTTAATCTGATTGAGGCCTGTATTTAGGTACATGTACATGTAAGCTCAAGCTCTTTCATTCCTCCCCCTCCCTTCTCCCATATAAACATCTGAAGAGAAATCGGAGTGTTTTGTCTTTGAATGCCGCATTGATCAAAGTACATCAGAGGTATCAAGAGCATTGTGTAGCACATGAAGGGACTAGAAATTGGTCAAGATCTCATTTGGGGGATTGAAAATTACTAATTATATTTGATTTATGAGTGAACTAAACATTCAGGAATGTCACCATGAACTTGATGAAGCATGATCTGACATGTGGGTGTGTTTGGAGAAGTGTGATTAGGATAAAGGTCATTGTCACAACTGGAAAGAACTGCTTGGTAACCATGGTAACTACCGCTGTAATTTAAAGTTCATCAGGCATGATCTGTCCTATTTAGGGGTCTAGATTTGGGTTGTCACAAGTGGGATGATGGTCAGATGGTATTGTATTATGTCTTATCTCCTTGGTATTTATAGAGAGAGAAATACACTGTGAAATAGTCGTTCGTACTTCACTTGATTCTCCATCAAGAGTAAAAGGTTCGAACCTCTATCCAAACTAGTTATGTCCTCAAACAAGGCCTCTCTCTCTCTCTCTCCCTCTCTCTCTCTCTCTCTCTCTCTTCTCTCTCTCTCTCTCTCTCCCTCTCTCTCTCTCTCTCTCTCTCTCTTTATCTCTCTCTCTCTCTCTCTCTCTCTCCCTCCCCTCTCTCTCTCTCTCTCTCTCTCTCTCTTCCTCTCTCTCTCTCTCTTTCTCTCTCTCTTTCTCTCTCTCTCTCTCTCTCTCTCTCTCTCTCTTTCTCTCTCACCTCACCCGGGTGTTATATCAGGTACTTAGCAGGATATAACGTAATTCCTTGAACTGAACTGTTGCTGTCTGAGCTCAAACAAGGATTAACTGATAATCTCCAAACCATGAATTTTGGGAGCATATTATATTGCAATATGATCTGTGTAAAGTAATAAATATTCTTGAAATAATCACTTTTGTAAGTTTTCTTTGTGTTCTATTTGAGTACGGTATACATTTTTATTCTACATTCTCTCCTTTTCACCGTCTTGGTCTTTTAACATAAAAGTGGATTACTTATAACTTTTTTTGCAATTTCGATTTCATCTTACCAATGCTAAATAATTTCTGCAAAAGCTATCGACTTACAATATGTATTTTAGTTTTTTGTATATGTTTATATCTCTCTATATTTTAAATTTGTTTGTAAATTGAACATTTTCAGCCTGCGAGCTGCTTGTGATGTGTTTTTGCGATAAACCAAACCAATTCAATTCAATTCAATAGATATACACGTAATTAATAAGTCTGATCTGACAGATGGGGGGGGGGTGCATGGGATGAAGTTCACCTTATTTTGGCGGTACATGTTTATTAGTTTCATTGGAGTACCGTATCATCCAAACATTGAATGCTTACATTGTCGTCATCCATCGTCATCCATATACATATAGGATGATATAACAAGTGAGAAGCCAAGTTTGGGGTCAGTTTGGGTCAAGTTATCTCTGCTGAATGATATCAACAACAACAACAAAACTAGGTCAAGTCGGGAAGCATCAAGAACATAACACGTGACAGACCAAGTTGAGTGTCAGTGTACATTAATGTATATTGATATCTTACTTTTTAATGATTTGCATGCATCCATTTGCCCATAAAGTTGGAATAATATTTGTTTTCTTACCTCTATTTTCATGAAGCCATTGTGAGAATATGTTTATTCTTGTTAGATCATAATGTAATACATCTTCTTAGAATATAGAAGTTCTGAGAAGATATCAATCACTTCATGAAAAGAGGTAAATATGAAGAAAAAATATCCTAAATTTATGGGCAACAGTATTCATAAAGTAAAAGTAAATAGCAATGAGAAAATTGAGAGCATAACATTCATGCATGCACAGGCCGAGTGACTGTAATATTATTATATCTCTATTGAATCATTGGCCACACATGATGTCAGGGACTATTATTAGAAAGGTCGAGGGAACTCCAAGAGCATCACCATCACATCGTGCATGGACATAGTAGGTCAGATCATGTAGCCTACGTGACTGGTCAATTGGAGCCCGTGGAGGCTCACTAGCTGTGCATCACCAAGTCATCGCCTTATTACATGTCTTGTAAGATGTGGGCTGATATTAAAAGGTTAGGGGTCAGTTGGATTAAGTTATCTGTGTCACGAAAGTACGGGACGGGGCCTATATATGCAGGGGAGGCGTACCCGCGAGGGGACAGGGGGACACGTCCCCCTCCCCCTCATTTTTTAGAGCGGAATCGCCCCTCACCCCCGGATAATTTGAAAAAGTGCGACAACAAAAATGTATAGCAAACACTGACTAAAGACTGCAACACATTGTCTTTTAGGCTCTGGAGGGCCCAAGAGTGCAGCGTTTGGACTAATAAAAATGCAAAATCTTCTTGCTCGGTCGCTACTCTCCCTTGCATAATACCCTTCAAAATATACAAGTAAATATTGTAGAAAATCTGCACTCCGTTGGTATCACCGTGATACCAACGGAGTGCATGTTTTCCCTCTCATTTTTGTTTCCCCCCCCCCCCCCTAGCTCCTCCTGTCATGAAAAGAACTCGCCGCCCCCTGAGGAATGCGGTCTCGATATTGTGTCCTTGCTCAGGCCCTCTGTCAAGACTGTCATGCTACGACTGACAATGTAGTTTGTGCATTCAAACATTAACAGCATGGTTCAATTACACGTGACCGGTCGATCTATAGTATATCTCGAGATCAAGGTCTCCCACCATAAAACTAGTTTCCGTTGAACAATATTATGATGCTCAGCTCCGAACAATCATGTGCAGATTGTTTTATGTTATGACAGCTAGAAGCTGTGGTTTTGATTACTTATGGAAAAGAGGTTGGCCCTATAATGACTCAGTTTCTCAACCACTTCCCCCAAATCATATTGTTTGAAAATATTCACGGGGAATTAACCCAGCAAACCTTTAACAAATTTCGGGCACTCCGGATATACAGCGGCGGAGTTTATCTTTTTTAAAATGGGGCAAACCTGCTGTCTTTTTAATTCAACCATTTCCTTCCGAATGATCACATAAACAGCTATTCCTAAAGGGGAATAAACTCAACCAAAAATGTAGGCCCTGCCAGTTTTATTTCTGACCCCCAAAAGGGTTGTCTAAAAATAATGATTGGTTTAGTTTAGGCGAAGCCCTTATTTTGGAAAACGTCTTGGATGTTTGAAAAAATACAGAATTTAATTGGCCAATTCCCATGACTGCAGCTGAGAAGTAAAATAACATAAAATATATTTTATATATTTTCTGTTCAGTTTTTTTAACAAAAAGCAAATCAGAAAAGGCAAGGAAAAGATAAAACGCTCCTGCTCAGAATAAGTGTTTACATTGTTTTTTTTATGATATTGCAATAAGGAAAATACAAAATAATACAATAAAAGTACATCGTGGATTTCAAGTTTTCAACATGTTGCGAAGAAAAAACAAAACACGACACGAAACTATCCGCATTTTATTACAAATTTATTTTTATTTTTAGGGTTAGGCCTATATTTAAATTCTGCTTATCTTACAGTTCTTTCATCGTATCATTTTTATATTTGCAGAAATGTTGAAAAAACGCTCTATAATCAAATTCATTTTACGAAGTTTGAAAAGTCATATATGTTTCTACCCACCCCCCCCCCCCCTTATTTTTGCTCTTTCTCTCTCTCTCTCTCTCTCTCTCTCTCTCTCTCTCTCTCTGTATTAACATGGACTCGACGTTTTGTTCTCACTCTCGCATTTAGCTCAACTGGTTTAAACTGGATTTGGGTCTATTTCATGATACACAAAGTAAACAATGCAATTCACCCTCCGCTGACACAGAGATATAACCCTGAATCATTTATTTATATTTCGGGCTTGTTCATGTATGTTTGT